ATCTTTACCAAATTGTACCATGCGGGCCACTCGCGCGCGTCGGCCGCTTGCGCATGTCGAAATTGTTTCAACATTTTCATCACCGACGCGTTGACACCATCATCGCTACCGACGTGATCAGCATCGGCGCCGTCATTGGCTTTGCCGTCGTCGTCGTCATCATCGTCCCCAGCGTCGCTACAATCATCATCGTCTTCACCGTTGTCGGCGTCGCCGCGATACCGCGCCCGCCCGAGGCACCGACACCGACTCGCACTGAAGTGCCCACGCGTCGGCGCGGCCTGCGAGACGCGCCATCCATCGGTCAGCGCCGCCGCGGCTGCGTCCGCTCTGCGCGCGAGCCTGCGCGCGCCAGCGCGGTCGCAGCGACGCGTCCGCCATCGCCAAACAGTCGTCGCGATCGATGCCGCATGGGTTTTTCAAACCAAATTTCGGGCGGGTGAGTCGGATGATTGCACGAGCAGTGAGGTTGACAATTCACTTCGAATACAAAATTATTGTCCTTCTTATAAACAAAAATGATTCTACCCCCCCACCACCCCGCCTTGGAATATCCGTTCCCTTTTTCGCATTGCAGTTTGCATGTGATTCTGCCCCATCGCCCATCCTGAATATGAATGCACGTCCTCCCGGCCGAGCCGGCATCGACCCCCCCCCCGCCATCCTCTCAAAAAAGTGTTTCGCGCGCGCATTTGTTGATCATAAATCATCAGTTTTCAAGAATCTCTTCTGCAAAAGATGAGACAAACTGCGCGCGCATCGTCGCGCGAGCACGCAGGAATCCTTCGCGCACCCGTGGCTTCGCAAGGATTGCAGAATCGAGCGCCCCAAAAACAACAAAAATACAGAAGGTTTCGCAGCGCGGTGAAAAAAATGCGCGCGCGCTCTTGCGAATGCTTTGTGAATCCGTATGTTGTTCAACATTTTGGTAACCTGCCGCCGGAAGGGCTTCGGGCGCGCGCGTCGAAATCGCTTGAACGCCCTCGCACGCGTGCCGACGCAAGAATCTCTTGCAACAAATAAAGGAAGTGCGAAGAACAAATTTGCGCGTGCATCGATTTTTCAACATTGCCAGTGAATTATGCCGCCAAGCGGGCCTCTCGCGCAGCATGCGGACATCAGTCGAACACCCTTGCGCGCGTGCTTGGGGGGCGCAGTCAAGTCCGCGTCGAATGGTACCATGCGGCCACTCTCGCGCGTCGGCCGCGCGCGCGTGCCGAACTCCCTTCAAAACGTTGATCACCGACGCGATGACGCCGTCATCGTCGTCGGCGCGATCAGCATCGGCGCCGTCACTGGCCGCGCCGTCGTCGCGGTCAGCATCGCTACTATCATCGTCGCGTCTACCGTCGTCGACGTTGCCGCGATGCCGCGCCCGCCCACGTCGCCGACTCGCACTGAAGTGCCCGCTGGGATGCACCGCGCGGTCAGCGCCACCGCGGCTGCGTCGGTCGCGCCAATCTTGGTGATTTGCGCCGGGTTGATTGCACCGCGCACATTGCACCGCGTGGATTGCACTACGCGGCTTGCACAACTACATCGCACCACGTCGTTTTCCCTTCAACAGAGGAGGTAACATCTACCACTCTTCCCACCCCCAAGACTTATCCCCACCTGCGGGGCTGGGCAGTCTACATTCGATTATGCTCCGCCCTTCGTTCATGCCGCCCCGCCCAGGTCGGCGCCGGCCCCCCCATTAACCTCGTCAAATTATTCGCGCGCCCACACCGTCGCTTATCAAAAGCCGCCAAGTTGCAATAATCCCTCGCGTGCAATGGGACGAAGTCCACGCTCGCGCGTCGTCGCGCGGGCATGCCGACATTTGGGGCGCAAGCCGCAGGCTTAGCTTGGCTGTCAAAATCGAGCGCCCCGACAATGCAACAAAAATCAAAGGTTGCGCAACAGGTTTTTGTTCCCGGGAGTTTTCCTTTTCGCTCTTGCGAGTTCTCAGGAATCAAATTGCGCTCCAACGATTTGATGAATTGCGACCGCGCGGGCCTCATCGGGCCTCTCGCGCGCGCATGTTAGAATCGCGCGAACGCCCTTGCGCGCGTGCTCGGGGTGGTGCGGGGGGGCGCGATTCTCGTCAAATCGCGCCGCGCGGGCCACTCGCGCGCGTCGGCCGCGCGCGCGCGTCAAAATCTTCGCGGCCTTCATCGCCGACGCGCGGGCGCCATCGTCGTCGTCGTCGGCGCGGTCGGCGCCGGCGCCTCCACTGGCCTCGCCATTGTCATCGTCGACGTCGCCACGATGCCGCGCCCGCCCGAGGCGCCGACTCGCGCCGATGTGTTGGAAAATGCGCTACGTTGGTTGCGCGTCGTAGATCGCACTACACATGTTCTCCACTCTACATTGAAATTCGGATGTCCCCCCCGGAGTTCCCGCTTCCCCTTTGGATCGCGTCTTGATTCTGCCCCATCGATCATCTTGAACATCATCGGGCCCGCTCACCTTCGTCAGTCTACATTGCGGGTGCGCACGCGTTTAGCACAAGCCATCA